GTTATTTTAATACTGCTGTATATGGAGAACACCCCTTGTTTGTTTTTCAGTTATTTTTTGTCTATTTTTTGTCTTTGATACCTGTTAATAGTATATATATATATATATATATATATATATATATATATATATATATATACTAGCTTAAAAGCCCCCCCTGTTGGGTGGCATTTTAGCTAGCTCTTGCAGAGGGATCTTGATTGTCCCTTCATCGCAATAGGTAGGGCGAAGTAAATGTGATAGGCAATAATAAACTTCAGAACACAAAATGATCACTACATTTAACTATTGCATTAATATTTAAGTTTACCTTTTAAAAGTTCAATGATAATTTTTCTGCCACCACTTAATTTAAATCTTATGTATGTAGGTCTTTACTTTCCATACAAACAATTTTTTTTTTATTTCATGGGTGACTTTCTCTGGATTTCGCAGTTAACTTTGATTATTCCCAAATTTATTTCCAAGTTATAAAAATTGTTATCATACAAAAAAATTTGTCGCAACAAATCACATAAAAAAAATCAACGAAAACAATCGCAGTAATGAAAACTTGGGAATCCCAAATTTCAGAATTGCATGTCCGGATCGGCCCTACAATATGGTAGGGTATGCCGATACAGCCTCCAGGAAGTAAAGTTGAAAAAGTATAACACATTGACATACTGACATTAGCATTTTATTTATATATATATATATATATATATATATATATATATATATATATATATAAGGAGTCACTGTGCAATATGTATTTCTATAGGTGGGGAGTAAAAAACTAAATGGTTGAATGACTGGTTTACTGAATTCTTTTTCTATCGATATGCAGGTGGTTTGCTTCCAGTATAAGTTCTGGATTATTCTAACATCTATCTCAAATAAATCAAGTTTTCCTAACTTTCTAAACAGTTCTTTGGACATACTTTATCAAACACTTTTGTATAATCTATAAAACATAGGTGTATATAGTTTTACAATTGTATAGCTTTCACTTCTCTTTAATGTCTCATTGTATGTTCAAAAATCCAATATAACTGTAGACAAATATGGGATCAGCAAAATGTTTAAGCAAAAAGGGATCAGCAAAATGTTCAAGCAACAAGGGATCAGCAAATTTTCAAGCAACAAGGGATCAGCAAAATGTTCAAGCAACAAGGGATCAGCAAAATGTTCAAGCATAATTCTGATAATGATAAGGTAAATGTTTGCTTTGATTTATATTTTGTTTTTAAATATTCAACATACATCTTGATTTGATTTTCAGATAAAAAAATATAATGATTTAAAGAAAGAAGAAGACTTGATTTCTTAATGAAAAAAAACATAAACACTTGATTTGTTGATGACAAAAGATAAACACTTGATTTGTTGATGAAAACACCAACAATAATGAGATGAGAGTCTAGCAAGACCATTGTCAAAGTCAGGATTTTGGACAGCGTGTGGTCCACAACTAAAAAGTTTCAATTGAGACTTTATTGGAGCCAAAGATTTTAGCACAAGAATTGACAAAATAGCATAAAAAGTTGACAAAAGAATTTTACCAGAGAATAAAATAAAAAGATGTTAAAATTAAGTCATCTTATTAATCATAAAAACAAAATAATAAATTTTTGTTTTTTAAAATTAATTTATGACTACTTCAGATTATTTGAGTTTTATATTTATAAAATTACTTTTGTGAGATTAAAAAAAATTAAATTGTGTCTGATCTCTTGTAAGATGGAATAGTAATAAAATAATAATGCTTCATCTAAAACACAACAATAATAAAATGGAGTAAAACTAGTAATAAAAATAAAAATAATGAAAATTCTTTTAAAAAGCAACAATGATAAGATGGTATAAAACTAGTAATAAAATAATAATAATAATAATGATAATGCTTCATTTAAAAAGCAACAATAATAATATGGACTAAAACTAGTAATAAAATAATAATAGTGAAAATGCTTCATCTAAAATGCAACAATAATAAGATGGAATAAAACTAGTAATAAAAATAATAATAGTGAAAATCCTTCTAAAAAGCAACAATAATAAGATGGTGTAAAAGTAGTAATAAAATAATAATAGTGAAAATGCTTCATCTAAGAACAACAATAATAACATGGAGTAAAACTACTAATAAAATAATAAAAGTGAAAATGTTTCATCTACAAAACCGACAATAATAAGATAGAGTAAACTCGTAATAAAATAATAATAATTAAAATTTTCAAACCAAAATTTTCAAGAATAAAATTTTAAATTCTAGTATGAAGTATAATTTTAAAAAAATCATTCTAGATGTGGCAGTAAAAGTGATCACTTCAAAAGTCTCAGATATCATTTTTAAAGAACATTTCCATGTTTTAATATTTTAAAATCATTTTCTGCTAACAATCTTTTATGTTAAAAAAAAACAAAAAAAAACTTCCAATCTCATCTTACCTGTTTGCTGCAACTTTCCTTCCAGTAGTTAGCTAAAAACTCCAGGCATTTTAGGAAAAAAATGGCCTTTCATCTGCATAAAGAAAAGAAAAATGACAGAGAGAGAGAAAGAGAAGAAACATAATTGAGAGATTTTAAAGAAAAGACAAGAAAAAATATCCTTTAGGTAGGTTTCTTTTTTCTTTTTTATCGATGCTTATAAAATCTTATTCAATCCAATAGTTTGCTACTAAGTGCTGTCAAATTAGGGACACTGTTCCAATCCAGTACTAACCTAACTGATTCCTTGCAGATGATAAAAAGTAAAATGGTTGGAGTAGGAGCAGTAATTTCTATATCCTTTTGTCTTCAATTTTAGGAGTTTTCTATTTTTTTTTTGCGCTGAATTGAGGGTGAGGGATATTTCAGCGTAGGTGAAATGCATTCAGGAAAAAGAAACATCACTTGAGATAAATATTTGTTGAACCGAGATTTGAACAAAGAAAAATTGTTTTAAAACAAAATTGAAAATTTTTTTTCTTTTTATAGTTCACCAATAGAAATTCTTGAAGATGTGAGTGTGTTTGTGATAGAATTTCTTTCTTTTTAAACAATTAACAGATGCATGTATGGAAAGATATTTATACATGCATAAATGTGTGCTAATAACACACTATGTGTTTGACAGAAGAGATCAACATACATAAATACATCTATCTATCTATCTATCTATCTATCTATCTATCTGAAGGACCAACTTCTGCAGACAACGTACACTTGCTTGTGCTTGGCTTTTGATGAACATGCTGAAATAGATAGATAGATAGATAGATAGATAGATAGATTATCTATCTATCTATCTATCTATCTATCTATCTATCTATCTCAGCATGTTCATATCTTTCTACTTCAGTCTGTTTATATCTATCAATCTCTCTCTCCCTCTATATATATTTATGTATATATATTTCAGCCTATTCATATCTATGTATCTATATCAATTTGTTTATTTTAATTTAATTCTGTTCATATCAACATCATTTTGTTCATATCTCTCTCTCTCTCTCCCTCCCTCCCTATCTATCTATCTATCTATCTATCTATCTATCTATCTATCTATCTATCTATCTATCTATCATAGGGGTTTATGAAACATTTTCACCTTGACCCACTTTCTGAAATCAGTATTTCAATGACGACATATCAGAATAATTTTTTTGGAATTAGTCAGGCCAAGGATTTTTCAGCACCACATTAGAATAAGAAATAAATATATATATTTATATACCAGGTTGATTCAAAAGTTTTTATTCATTTTCACTGCTGATTATTGTCAACTTACATCTCCATATTATATCATAATTTTCAGATGACTGTTGTCCAATTGTTGCTGAATTGTTTATTCTTTATTTTCATAAATATAAACATTGTTTATTCAGTAATTGTTTATTCTTTATTTTACAGCTTTGATAATGAGTGGAGAAAAAATTGTAAGTAGAGCCATTTAATGTTACCTGTGGAAAGAAGGACTGAGTGCAAGGATAGTGGCAAAAAAAATTAATGATATGGAAGACCCAGGAACTGTCAATGAACATGTGGCACAAAACTGGTCCAGATGTTTCAAGGTAGATGACACCAGCCTCAAACACAAATCAAGGTCAGCAAGACCTTCTGTTGTAGAAGATGTGGCCTTGCTTGAAAATGTTCATCAAAAGCCAAGCACAAGCAATTGTACGTTGTCTGCAGAAGTTGGTCCTTCAGTAAGCACCATCAATTGAGACATCCATAAGCTTGACCTTGTGAACAAGCATTGTCAAGAAGTTTCTTATGAACTGACCAAATGACCAGGCTCAATGATGTGTGAACATTTGTAAACAATTGCTGGCAAATCCTCAAGATGGCTGTTTTTGGCATCTAATTGCAACTATGGATGAAAAATGGATCTGTTTTTGTAATCCTAATAAGAGAAAGTTTCATTCACACTTCAGAACATGTCAAACAAGGGTGGGTTGAACAGAAGGATATGTCGTGTGTCTGGTGGAATTTCAAGGGAGTGTTACTGTTACACCTAATTATATATATATATATATATATATATATATATATATATTTTTTAAGCATTTTACCCCAAGCAAGGTGGGAAGCCACTAGCATGCAAGGGGTTACAGAAGATTTGGAGAGCAAGATCAGATAGGAGTGACAGAGGAAAGAATGAGGAGAAGGATAGTGGATAGATCAAGGCAACTGGAGATGTCAATTGATATTGCATTTGAATAGTTGGAGATTATAGCTATCGGGGAAGCAGGAACAGGGAAGGGAGTTCCACAGGCGAGAGGTATGAGATATGAAGCTACTGAAGCAGAAGTGATGGCTACATTTAATAGTTTCAACAGTGAAAGGGTGAGAGTGGGATGCCAGCCTCGTAGGATGCTTGAATTCATCAAGTCTGGGAACCAGTGAAAGCAGCTCATCGAAGCAATTAGTGCAAAACAGAAAGTAAGAGAGAAAGAAAGAAAAAAAAATCAAGAATGAAATGGCAAAAGAGAGTGCAAGTGAGAATGAGTACACAAGCAAAAAAGAGTACAAGTTCAAGTGAAAGAGAGAAAGAGAGTACAAATGAAAGAAATACTGCAAATATGGAGTGCAAGAGACAGAAAATGCAAAAGAGAGAAAAAGGAACGGCAAAACAGAAAGAGAGTGAGAGAAAGATAGTGTAAGAGAGAGGGAGTGTGCAAGTGAGTAAGATGCAATGCAAAAGAGGGAGTATAAGAGAATGTAAGTTTAAGAGAGTTCATGAAAGAAAATGCAAGAGTGAAAGAGTGAAAGGGAGAGAGAGGGGGGAGGGAGCATGGGTGAAAGAGTTCAAAAGGGAGAGAGTACAAGAGGGAGAATGCAAGAGAGAGTAGAAGAGAAAGCAAAAGTGTGCAAGAGTGAGTGCAAGAAGAGAAAGAGAATACAAGACAGAAAATGAGAGTGCAAAAGAGAGAGTGCAAGACAAATAAAAAAGTAAAAGTAAAACAGAGAAAGAGTGTGAGAGAGAAAGATACTGCAAGAGAGAGGGAGTGTGAAAGTGAGTAAGGAAGAATGCAAAAGAGGGAGTATGAAAGAGAGAGAGTGTAAAATCGAGAAAGTGCAAAAAAAGAAATTGCAAGAGGGAAAGAGTGTAAGAGAGGAAATGCAACAGAGAGAGCATTATCAAAAGAATGCAAGAGGGAGGGAGTACAAAAGGGAGAAGAAGAGAAAAGAAAGACTGTGCAAGAGTGCAAGACGAGAAAGTGCGAGAGAGAGAGTGCAAAAGAGAGAGTGCACAACTGAGAAAAAGAAAAGCAAAAGAGAAAAAAGTGAGAGTGAGAAAGATACTTCAAGAGAGAGGGAGAGTGAAAGTGAGTAAGAGAGAATGCAAAATTGGAAGTATAAGAGAGAGAGAGAGAGAGAGAGAGAGAGAACAAGATTGAGAGAGAGAGCAAGAGTGTAAGAGTGCAAGATAGATAATGCAACAGAGTGAGATAGCACAAGAGAGATGGAGTGTAAAAGTAAGTAAGAGAGAATAAAAAAGAGGAGTACAAAAGAGAAAGACTGAGAAGAGAAGAGAGAATGATTGAAGAGAGACAATGCAACAGAGAGAAAGAGCAAGTAAAAACGTGCAAAAGAGTGAATGCAATAGATTAGAAGATAAGAAAGAGAGAGTGTGCAAGGATGAGTGCAAGAAGAGAAAGAGAGAGAAAGAGTGCAAAAGAGAGAGTGGAAGGCATAGGAAAAGGAATGTAGCGGGAAAGATACTGCAAGAGAGAGGGTGTGTGAAAGTGAGTAAGAGAGAATGAAAAAGAGGGAGTGCAAGAGAGATAGAGAGTGCAATATTGAGTGAAAAGAGAGAGGGAGAAAGAGAGAGAACAAGTGAAAGAGTGCAAGAGGGAGAGATTACAAGAGAGTAGAAAATGAGAAAGAGAGAGCATGCAAGTGTGAGCGCAATAGGAGAAAGCGAGAGAGTGCAAGACAGAGAAAAAGGAAAGGCAAAATAGAGAGAGAGAGTGAGAGAAAGATAGTGCAAGAGAGAGGGAGTGTGGAAATGAATAAAACAGATTCCAAAAGAGGAGTATAAGAGAGAGCGTGAAAGACTGAGAGAGTGCAAGAAAGAAAGTGAAAGAGTATAAGAGAGGAAATGCAAGAGAGAGAGAGAGAATGCATGACTGAGAGAGTGTAAGAGAGAATGCAAAGAGAGAGAGAGTAAGTGAAATAATGCAAGTGAGAGAGAGAGAGAGTACAAGAGAGTGAATGAGAGAGAAGAGAAGGTGAGAAAGAGAGAGCATGCAAGTGTGAGCGCAATAGGAGAAAGCGAGAGAGTGCAAGACAGAGAAAAAGGAAAGGCAAAATAGAGAGAGAGAGAGAGTGAGAGAAAGATAGTGCAAGAGAGAGGAAATGAATAAAACAGATTCCAAAAGAGGAGTATAAGAGAGAGCGTGCAAGACTTAGAGAGTGCAAGAAAGAAAGTGAAAGAGTATAAGAGAGGAAATGCAGGAGAGAGAGAGAGAGAGAGAGAGAGAGAGTGCAAGACTGAGAGAGTGTAAGAGTGCAAAAGAGAATGCAAAGAGAGAGAGAGAGCAAGTGAAATAATGCAAGTGAGAGAGAGAGAGAGAGTACAAGAGAGTGAATGCAAGAGAGTAGAAGGTGAGGAAGAGATAGGGTATAAGAGAGTGCAAAAAGAGAGAGAGTGTGCAAGACAGAGGGCTCCAAGAGAACAAAATAGTGCAAGAGAGAGATATTAAGAGAAATGTTAAAAATTAAAATTACTGATTTTTCAATACAATTTTCAAAACGATCAATAGAGGAAAATTCTTTGCATTTTTTCTTTTTTCGCTGTTCTGAGCTTATTTTTTTTCTCAAAGAAAGGACAAAAGATTTGCAAATGCCAATTCTGCCTTCAATGCACCCATCCCCTGCTGGAATCAATTGATTTTTTTCTTCCTTTTTGCTTCTCTGATATATTCTCTACAGAATTTGTTTTATCAACAGCACACCTGCCCTTTAAATAGAATAATACAAAAAAAGTTCCACCAAGACAATGGTGATTTTCTAAGTGTAGCATAGATGTTGCATAAGGCTGAAAGTATAGGGTACCCAGTGACGACCAACCTCAAAGTTCCACAAATACAATGAAAATATTTATATATATACATACATACATACATACATATATATATATATATATATATATATATATATATATATATATGATGGACTCTTCCATCGATTCTGATGTATGAGGATCTGACATCCTCATTCATTTTTTATGTTTGTATCATATGTGACACTTCAGTTTTGCTAGTAACCTGCATACAATTCCACATATTGATACATGTGTGTGTGTGTGTAAAGGCTCAGCAAAAATGCACAAATATAAAATACAACTTAAACATGTTTTGACACATGAGGAAAAACTAACAACACCAAAACCAAAACCCCTTGAAAATGACTAAAGAAATAGCCAAACGCACTTGGGACAAAAAAATTATGGAAGATTTCTGTACTCCCTTATTCTTACAAAACAGAAAAACATAAGGAGGCTGGGAAAAATAAATAAAAATTAAAAAAAAAAATTAATTAAATCTTCCTTGTCTGCCGTATTTAATGATTGATGTTTAGAAGAAATGTTACTGTCCATATGTACATTAATATATATATATATATATATATATATATAATTATTTTTATAAAAAAAATTGTAACATAAGATGATGTTATAAAATCACTACAAAAATAGCCATTTTGATAAGACACTCTGTGTCTTATCAAGTGATGATGTTGAAAACAATTATTTCAACATCATTTTGTAGTGATTTATAAAATACTTATGTTATAATTTTTTTATAAAAAATAATTATATCTGGTTTCTACTTTGTATTGAGCACTCTTTTAAGAATAGTAATTGTTGGTTATTGGAATTCATTCCGTATATACCAATTATATACTTGGGTATATATATATATATTAATAAAAATATAAAATAAAAATTAATTAAATCTTCCTTGTCTGTGAAATTTAATGATATATATATATATATATATATATATATATATATATATATATATCATTAAATTTCACAGACAAGGAAGATTTAATTAATTTTTATTTAGTTTTCCCATTGTTCTTATGTTATGTTTTTTCCATTTCGTAGGAGTAAGGAAGTTATGGAAAACTTTTGTGCTCCCCTTATTCTAACAAACATAAAATGTTTAAAAGAATGATTGCTGCCCAAATATGCATTAATATATATATATATATATATATATATATATATATAATTATTTATTCGAAAATTATAACATAAATATGTTATAAAATCACTACAAAAATAGACATTTTGTTTCAAGACTTATATATATATAATCAAGACACTAGAGCTTACCATTGCATTTAAATTTTTGAAAATCAAAGCTAGCTGGAAAGCATGAAGCTGGAAGAGAGTTACACATTTGTGTGAAAGAAGGAACTATTAGCATAGAACTTATGGTTGCATCTCGCCATTTCAACTGTAAAATGGCGAGACCTTGCTGCCAATCTAGTACTGTGCTTAAATTCATAAAGGCTAGGTATCAGAGTGAAGAGTTCATCTGAATACTTACTATGAAAGTATTTATAGAAAATGCACAGGGAAGCTACATTAGGGTAGAAGGAAAGTGACTGAAGCCAAGATGCCAGGTCAGGATGAATAATATTGCTGATTCTTCTTTGGATTTTTTCAATAATCTCTAAATATACAGTGGGAATACTGGACCAGATGTGGCAGCAATATTCAAAGCTTAGACAAATGGTAGACTTATAAATATATAAGATAGGTTCTGAAGAGAAAAATTGTCTAGCACGACTCATTGAAGCAAGTTTCCTAGTAGCAGACCTAGCAATGGATTCAATATAGTCATTCCACTTCATATCAACTGAGTATGTCAGACTGAGAAGGTGCAATGAGCCACTCTCCTGGAGGTTAGTGTCAGCCATGCTGATTGAAGGGGTCTTTCAGATGATTAATAGAAAGAAGCTTTGTTTTGCCGGCATTAAAATTAACAAGCCACTCCTTGCCCTAGTTAACAACATACTCTAGGTCATTTTTAGATCACCTGCTTATTTCACCTTATCAAACTGATATATATATATATATATATATATATATATATATATATATATATATATATAATAGAAAAGCTCAATCCACTAACCAAATAAATAAAAATTAAAAATCAACAAAAAAAATTAGGATTCTTAATATAGATTTACAAATATAGCCAAACCAAGTTATTTATTCACTGTCTTTTGTGATGAAATATGGTTAAATATTAACTAACATCCAGTTCATTCACATCAATGGCCAATCTCCTCACTGTCTTTTTCTGTTACACCCAACATAATTCTTGAAGACTTTATTGCTACACACCCTTCTCTACATCCACTCTAACTTGGTTACTTTCTAAGAAGAACATTAATAAAAGAAATTATAGATTTTTATTTTTATTCTTTCTTTTAGGACTGCTAACGGCAAAGATATTCTCTTTTTTTTATTTATTATTATTTACCATTTGATTAGCCCAGTTTTTATTTTCACTTTATTTCCTTTTGGCTTCTATCTTTCTTTCTTACGCTCTTTCTCTTTCCCTCTCTCTTAACTTATTCGTTGAATTCTTTTTTCTTCCTTTTTTCTAATTTTTTCTTTCCGATGCCATCATTAATTTTGTCTTTATTTTTCTTTCATTTTTTACCTTATCATCAATTCTTTTTTTCTTTCATTTCAGAAATATATACTGACTTTGTTGTCTTTAAATTTTTGCTTTCCTTTTTTCTTTCCTTTTTTCATCCTTTGTTAGTCATTCCTTTATTCTTTTTTTCTTTTATTTCTCTTTTCTTCTCCTTTCTTTCATTTTTCTTTTTTAATCAATGAACACATTCTTTCTTTCTTTTCTTTTTCTTTCTTTCTTTTTATATCTGATGACTTCATTAATTCCATCTTTACATCTTTGCTTTCTTTTTCTTTTCTCCATTTTTCTTTCTTAATTAATCAACACTTTCTTTTTTCATTCTTTCTTTCTTTCTTTCTTTCTTTCTTTCTTTTCCACCTAACAAGGATAAATGCCTTCAGTTTATTAAGAAGTACAGGAGAAGTTACAAAAAGACAGTCTGGTTTTGAATTTAACCATGCTTGACTGATCTTGTAAATCAAAGAAAATTAAGCTTGACATCTGACACACCCAACTGATGATGTGTTTATCAAATTTCTAATGAAATTTGTTCTGTTTCAGAGATTGCAAAGAAATACCTTTGATGGTGTTACTCATACCTAAGCAGCATATTTGAAATCCTTGCCATTAGTCCAAATAGTGTAAAGGGAGATAACTTACCATTTGCATTGACACAATGTAAGTATATATATATATATATATATATATATATATATATATATATATATATATATTTCTGTGCATAAGAAGACCTTTAAATCCTAAAAATCACCCTTAAAAATTGGGGAGTTGGGGGGGGCATCTTATGCAACAATTCTAAAAAAGTAACCTTAAATTCTGAGTGATGTTTGTTGGTAGGCTAACCTCATCCTTTGTGCAATAATCAATGACATGCATGAAAAGATTCACATTATCAAATAAACTGATAATAAAAATAATAAAACCATTTCTACCTTATATACTACTGGCATAACTTCATGATAAATTATCTATTTCAAGACTAATTCCATAGCAATGAAATCAACTAGTATCCCTGCAAACTGAGCTGAGAAAATGTAAACATTAAGTTAAGATTTCATTCAAAGCAATGGAATGTACTATTATTGTCCATTATTATACTGTTATTAGCGGTATTTTGTGATTGTCAGTGAAGTATAAGTAAATGGTCATTAGTACACCAGGCTGTTTGTAACTGTTTAGATAGAGGAAAAGAAGAGCAAGAAGAAGAAGAATGAGTATTTGCAAGAGATTATGTGATGAAATGTAAACAAGACATTGATTTCCCTTTTGTGTAGGAAAAAATGATATAGAATTGGTTTTGTTACTTTGTTTATTTTAAATTTCTAAGGATACAGTAAGCAACATTTCCAATAACATCATCTTTATATAATCATTAAGTAGTCATCTTATACTACAGGTATAGGTTAGATTCATAAAAATTTCCCATATTTTTTACCTTGACTTAACCTAAGGTCATCTTACATGCTGGAATATATGGTGTGTATATATATATATTTCTCTCTCTCTCTCTCTCTCTCTCTCTATCTATCTATCTATCTATATATATATATATATATATATATACAGAGGCATGCTGGAGTGTGGGGAATAAGTTTATTTCAACTGATGAAATTCATCAGTCTGTCTTGGGGTTGAACAACACTGATGAATTTCCTTGGTTGAAATAAGCTTATTCTCTACATGAGATTATTTTCGATTTTATTTTGTACTAATTATTTGCTCTCTAATAATAAATACATTGAGCTTTAAATTTGTATTGTTAAGTATATTGTTGAATGATTCAGTTATTATTTTATTACATAACTTATATCATTTTATTTCTCATTTCAGAGCCCTCAAAATGACTGATAAAAAAATGGTAATTCATACTTGTCTATTGTATGAGTTTAAACTTAGTACAAATACATCATGTGCTTCTTGTAAGCTATGTACAGCCTTTGGCAAAGATTCAGTAAGTGAACGAACTGCATGTAATTGGTTTCAGAAGTTTTGTTGTAGCAATGAAACCCTCAAAGATGAACCTTAAGCTTGATGACCAATATCCATAAACAATGAGGATTTAAAGGCAGCCATAGAAACAGATTCAGGTTTAACATGTCATGAACTAAGTTCAAGGTTTAATGTAAGCAATGAAACTAAAAGACTGCATTTGCACCAGCTGGGGAAGAAATTGAAATTAAACAAATGGGTACCATATGACTTAACACCAGCAAACAAACTGCAGAGGCTTACCATATGCTATTCTCATCACAGTAGACTAACAAAAGAATCCATTTTTGATCAAATTATGACATGACGAAAATAATATACAAACTCTAAGAGGAAACATTATTGGTTATTGCTGGGTGATCCTTTGCCACAAACTTCAACGGTACCACTATTCCAAAAAAAAATTTTGCTGTGTGGACATGTCAAAGAATAATTCACTATGAGTTTTTAAAAATGGGTGAAACCCCTACTACTAACAAATATTGCAAGCAACTTGAATGAGATTAGGAAAATTTTGTTTTGTTTCTCCAGACCAATGCTCACCCACACTTTGCAAAAATGACCCTTGCCAAGATAGCAGAGCTAAAGTGGGAGATTATGCTTCATCCACCATATTCACCAGACCTCTTCAAAACAGATTTCCACTTGTTTTTAGGCCTAGATAATCAGGACATTTAATAATGAAGATAACTTGAAAATGGAAGTGCATAACTTTTTCCAAAGTAAAACTAAGGACTTTTACAAAAATGGCATTACTCAATTGTTGAACCATTGGGAGAAAACCATAGAATGTGATGGTTCATATTTTGATCAATAAATACATTTAAGACTTTAAATATGCATCTTTAATTTCCTTTATAAAAATCGGCAAAACCTATTCTGGGCACCTGATATATTACCAAGATCCACTTGGATTATATACCAATGGATTTATTACCTTTACTATATATATATATATATATATATATATATATATATATATATATATATATATATATATTGATAATATTTGTGGTCAATATATATATATATATATATATATATATATATATATATTATATCCTTATTTCTGTCTTGACATTGAATTCTACTTGGATTCTATCCTCTTGGAATTATTTTTTTATACAAATATATATGTATGTGTATGTATGTATGTATGTATATATATTTATATATTTTGCATATGTATGTGCATATTTAGCACTAATATTATCTATATATATAATATATATTTATATACATAAATTCACAAGAGGATAGAATCCAGGTAGAACTCAATGTCCAGGAGTGTTTGAGCCTTTTATATATATATATATATATATATATATATATATATATATATATATATATATATCTTACAGTAAGGTTTGCCCTGTACAAGGGTTGGGGGCCATTCAAAGTAGAGGATTACAGTTTAAGAGGCACAGGTTTATGTTGATAGGTGGGGAAGATAAAGAATTGTAGTGATAGGAGAAACAGAGAATTGGCTATAGTGATCAGTTCTACAGAGCAGTGGTTTGTAGGAAGAAGCTGCTTGAGTGGAACTTACTTCTCACCAATGGAATATGAGGGGGGAATGAGAGTGGTTTGCGAAAATGTGCATAGCATGGCAGGTCCTCGCCATGATGGTTAGAACTGGCAGAACCAAAGAATGCATTTCGTCCGAGAAATTTCCATGGAAGCAGTCGATAGAGCAGTGAAAGTCTTGCCACATCCCATCTGTTGCTGGGTGGAAAATAATTTGTCACCCACAAGGATGCGGAGTTACTTTTCGACACTGTTGAGACCTGAAATTGAGAAATGAGCAGCTCCTGCTCAAATAGGATAGCAGCAGTACTCCATTTTAAGCCTGATCTGGCTCTTGTAATCATAGAGGATAGCAGAAGGAGTCGGGTACTTACTGGAGCACTACAGAGAACAGACAATTTTTTCTGCATCTTTAGTTATGGATCATATGAATGAATTCCACTTGTGGTTAGGGGTGAGTTTAAGGCTCAATAATTACTCAAGGCACAAAGCCTCCTCGAGGAGACATTCATTCATCATGACTGGTGGTAGTTCAGGGTCCGATCAGCGATGATGGAATGTAACTAGTTTAACTTTTAAGGCATTGAATGTAACCAGCCATTTTTTCCCCGACTGAGATGTTAGAGCTTGATCAGATGAGAGATCAGCTGCCAATTGCTGGCCATCACCTGTTAAGGAGGTGCACCCATATATCATTGTATAATCGACATAGATATTCACAAATGAACAGGGTATACTCTTAGGCAGATCATTTAAGTAAAGTAAAAAGAAGGTTGGACTGAGAAGTGATTCCTGGGCAATGCTCATGTTCATTATTAGGGCACTGGAGGACTTTCTGTAATATATATATATATATATATATATATATATATATATATATATATATATATAAAGTGAACATCAAAGTCAACACTAAGAGGCAACAAGCTGTTTCATGCTAGATGCAATCCTCAAGCTGCCTGATGATTGCGTCTAGTATGAAAACAGCCTGTCGCCTCTGAGTGTTGGCTTTTGACTTTTATGTTCACTTTTATATTTATATTTATATATGCTCTATCTCTAGTATTGAGCACTTTATCCAATAAATATAGCACACTTTTAAACTATATTTCTTCATATATATATATATATATATATATATATGCAAGCAATCACTCCAAATATTATTTGCATTATAGACAAACTTTTCAGTTATTCATTCAGTCTGTCAA